AAGGGCTTTCTTTAATTAATTTATGTTTTCTCAAAATTGGATATTTCAATGGGTATCTGATAACGAATGGAAACGGACAATTTGCGCCGTTAATATGATAGGAAAACAGGTAAATCACCCCCATAGAAAGTTAACTAATAAAATTGGTGATATATTGAAAATTGCGTGATACCTAAGTAACTTTGTAAAATACCGATGCCGATTTACAGTGTTGTCTATGTATCGATGGTTGAAAGATCACTGTCGATAAAATTACTTACGTATGTTGTCCAAAATGGTTTATAGTTTTACTCATAACTTGATTCTTAGAAGAACCATTGTAGATCTGACTAACACCCACTTATAACTAAGTGATAATTTCATTTCAGCTTTCATATTAGGGCGTTATAAGCGCGACTATAGAGCGCGGCAACGGCGTTTATATAAGGCAGGTGTCCGCTGTCATTTACTAGTAGTATGAAATTATTCGGGAGCGCGTTTGTCGCGCGTTTGTCGCGCTGCAAAGTCGCCTAAATGTGAAAGCGCTCTAACAATGGGCTTTGATCAATCTACGAGCTTTGATCAATCTCAGCAGAAGTACATCCACTTCTCACTGGCTAATAGCTTCGACCAAATATTTACATACCAGATGTCCACATAAGTGCTACTAATGGGCCACACTAGTTTACCTACCCGTAACACAATCGCCTTGAATTTGGGTCAAGTATTGGTGATGTCAGTTTCCATTTCTATCGGGATCAATGGTTACATCACGTCTTTTTGTAAGGATACAAAATAAGTTTCGCGCTGAATCACAAGTAACATAAATCCGTAGTGTTGACTCTGGCCAGACGTTTGAGCTCCCCTCGTAAAATAAATCGTGGAAAAGAAGTTGAGGCGGTGCATTTGGACGCGGGAAGTCTTGTGCTAAGTGTAATTAGAACGCCGCAACAACGAGTAGGTTTGTTATGAATACACAACTTTATTATAGTGTTGTGTATAGAATTAAAAACTTTTATTAGTAATTTTAAGGCTGAGTTGCACCATCTTACCTTAACTTTAACAAACATCAAAAATCTGACAAACTCAATGCAAAAAACACCGGTTATTGTTAATGTTACGGTTAAAATAAGGTGAAACTCAGCTTAAGCTAATTAGAACCACAAAAATCAATCAAAAACATATCTATCAAAAATTTATGTTGTAAGAATTTTAGTAGTTCTCACCAACTTGGAAAATCTAGCACGACCATATTTTCACAACCTAATTATTCCACGGGAATTGAAGACGAGACCGTAATATTGAAAACGCCACCAATTCTGCTACTTGGCAAACAAAATATTATATTATTGAGCCCTAGTATAACTATTTGTTTATAATATTAATGAGTATTGATAGATAAGGTTATAAACTTACTTACCTCTTCAGTATTCCAAGTTGTCCTTCCACGTCGATATTTCGATTTCTTGTAAGCATATTAATTTTATGACTATGAAGTCTGCTGTCCACTACAGTTTTTCAGTTTACAAAAAACTGAGGCATCATTGCTTCATGTAGCTAAGGCTACGTTTTCCAGTTAAATCTACCTTAAATCAAAAATTTTAAAAGAGCTATATTAAATTACCATATTTTTTCCATTTCAAACTTTACTAAATAGTAAAAAGTCAGATCTTCCCCAAAGGCTTGGAAAATATTCAAACAGATATAGTAAATACGAAGTTGAGTTTAAATTTATAGTATGCAAAAATATTCATGGAATAATAATATTACGAGAATACTTTGTCCCGTTTGAATTCAAAGGAATTTATTTTAAAAGATACTTTTTCAGTTGTGTCCCCTTAATCTGCAGTATGAAGAAATATGCAAAGATTCCGCGGGACGGATCAGGTACCTCATTAGCTTCAATGTAGAATCATTCCTTGAATTTCGCGAAGTACTTTAGTAAGGAAATACGCGCATTATTGGGACGGCATGGCAAGGGATTTCCAGGTGACGAATAACAATGTACTTCATAGTTTTAACGCTATGATTGACATTGCCATGTTAATGGTTTTAGCTTGCCACGGCTACCGAAATAATAAAGCGCCATCAACATTGCAACCGTAGCGTCAAAACTTTACATGAAATTATTATTCGTCACCAATAAATCCCATGCGCAGTCCCTAATGGTAAATGGTTATCGAAATAAGAGCTTGTTGACGCACTAGGTGGCATAGGTGAAAGGGATCGTATGTAACCTTTGAACGTGTTTAAACTGCATATCTTTTTAACGATGCTCCAGGAAGGAGTGACTAAGGCTACGTTCACGGTAGAGATAAGTAAAACCAGAGTAAATACAAATGAGTAGGTCATCTTCATAGAAACGCATCGAGCGCGGTTTGTATGTGAGCGCGCCAATACGTATGCGTAGTGTTTCTATGAAGATGACCTACTCATTTGTATTTACTCTGGTAAAACGCATCGCGAGACTGATTTCTGCGTACATTTTGCGTTGATTTGAGGTACATTTGAGCGACGGGGCCCACTGCAATGTTAATGTGTTTATCTGTGGAGAAATGTAAAGCCAAATAAATTAAAATATTTACTAAGCATAAAGCTTAGTGCTCAAAACTTGTGGGACTGTTCCCTGCGGATTATAACTCTATATTAAGTGCATGAACATTTCTGTTTGTAGGTATTAACTATTTTCTATGTATAAAAATGTACTCGTATTGAAAAAAAGTATTTAAACATAAAAACTATTTAAACGTGTAGGGTACAATTGAATGCTGTTGAAACATCTACACTAATTATTATAAAGCTGGAGAGTTTGTTTACTTGAACGCGCTAATCTCAAGAACTACTGGTCCGATTTGAAAAATTCTTTCGGTGTTAGAAAGCCCATTTACCGCGGGTGGTTAAATAAATGAAAAAAAAAAAACATAGATACTTTTCTTCTACTACTTTTGTTCTCTTGTGCAGCCATATTCATATGAGTTGCCTGGTACCCATGTTTGTTATGTGGTGCTTTGCTTATTGTGGGACTATACATATCGCTGTGCAAAATGTCCAATTCACCTATTTTTATTTTCCACCCACTTAGCTTCTCGCTCCGTTATAAGCCTTTCGTACATAACTGGCTCTTTACTCAGAAGCTGGATCTGCAAAAGGTAATATTTGTGTAAATAGTAAAATAAAACGTTCAGAAACAATTGCTTTTAAATCCTACCTGTGATGCTAAGCATCTTACGCTAGTGTTATTTTGCTTTTGCTTTTAACAAAGCTAATGGATTACGGATGTATCGTGTATAGCACAAAGGGAAAACTGCTGTTTTTCTTAGAGGTGAGCTTTATGTAGGTACCTACAGGAAAAAAGCAAATGAGATGCTTGAATCAGTTTTATCAGTTTTATTACGTTTTGTTTGGCTTCAATTAAAGTATGCTCACACAATTTCCTTTGCGGTACGTTATGGTAATAGGTATTCAAAGCTCATTATTATTTTTACAGCAACCGTATTGAGCTCTATTTGTATAATTTAATGGAGTGTAGATGAATGCTTATTAAAGTTCTTGCAACTTACGAAGGCGAGTTAGCTTCACTTGTGTGTGTACGTGTACATGCACATAACGATAGTGTAATGTCTATCAAAACTTTTGAAATAACGAATAGTAGCGAGCCACCACATGTGTAAAGCTCACTCGCCTTTGTGAATTGTAATAACTATACTGTTTAAGGAAAATGAAATGTTCTATGTAGCGACACAAAATATGAACGAAGAGTGTGTATCGTTCTGTATCGTGATGAATCTAATGTGGCAAGTGCTCCTAAACAGGCTACGCTGAATAATTCATTTAATCCATCTAATACGTTATTTTGAACTTTCAATCTTGGACTAAAACTGCGTTAATATTATGAACAAAGTGTGTGTATCGTTCTGTATCGTGACGAATCTAATGTGGCAAGTGTTCCTAAACAGGCTCCTACGCTGAATAATTCATTTAATCCATATGCTATTTTGAAATTTTTAATCTTGGTCTATAACTGCGTTAATTACGAACAAAGTGTGTGTATCGTTCTGTATCGTGATGAATCTAATGTGGCAAGTGTTCCTAAACAGGCTCCTACGCTGAATAATTCATTTAATCCATCTAATAGGGCCACGCCGAGCTCATAAACTGTTAGCTTTGTACTAGTGATTTACATCGCCCTTTGAGACGAAAGAGAATTTATCGAGATAGCGCACAAAGGTTCATTTTATTTATTTATAGTGAGTCTTCGGACCGCTTCAGTTTTGCAAAGCAAATCGCCGAAACCAAATGAATTTGAAATCTTTTGTCTAAAACTTTGAAAATACATTTTAGTACCTATTATCGTAGAAAAATGTGAATGATATTCCTTTATTATTGTAAAGGTTTCTGTACGGCTAGCACGAAAAACTTTCGAGTTTGAATCGTTTGCGTATTCGAATCCCCACCAAAAGATTTAGTACGAAAACTACAACTGCGCCCTTGTGAACGTGTCGTAAAGTGAACCTAGTATGAGAAATGGTCGCACGAAACTTATTTTGAGAATCAAAATTGTCACATTAGCGTTTAATTCGAAGGTTGAGTATAGAGTTTTGTCGAATACGCAAACGATTCGAAGACGAAAGTTTTTCATGCTAAAGGTATGCATGAGATTGTTTAGTTTCCAACTAAGCGGAGATTGTACAGTCGGCCTCGGCAACATATTAGAGTAATATCTATTTTGTAATATCTTAGCACCTATTAGGTTCTACTCTAAGGTGCCACAGTGTTTAGTGTGCGTACATCCTTTTTTTGTTATGGAAATAGGTACAATCAAAATATTATAAGTAATGCTGAAGTTATTATAAAGTTCTTATAATAGAAAACCGTAAACAAAGTTGTTTTAATCAAATTACAGAGCAAAAAAAGATCTGTTTATTTTAAAACTTTTATTACCAATACTACAGTCTTTATGCTAATAAACGGATTGCAATGAATTTAAAACAGACTTCAACGTAAGTTGGTACTTTTCATTAATCTAGACGAGTTTGATATTTCGTTCACAATTTATCCTATCACTATAAATAGTTACACAATATCCCTTTTTTCAGAGTATAAATATTGGTTTGGCATGTTTATTTAAAAAATTCAAATACCTAATATTTTTACAGTAACATCTACAAGAGTCATTACGATTAGTTTTTATTATACAACGTAGTTATGTATATTCTAAAAATTTACAGTTATGTATAATAATAATCACAATTAATATTTATTTTATATAAAAAAATTACAACGTTATACGTTCAACAAATAGTGAAACAAGTTACATCACAGTTCCAATAATAATAATTAAATCAAAATTACGTAATTTTATCTTTACGTTACTTTCAAGATGATTACAATTTAAGCTTCGTACCTGTTTCCATTCATCATCCATTTAAGTTAGTAAATATAATAAATTATAAGTTAACATACTTTATATAAAATATGAATAACATAAAAACACATTACGTTTATAGTTCCTAAGTATTTACATATGACACTAAAAATTTTGGGACAAAAGTTTACTTGATAACCTTAATGAATCGTGACACTGCAAAGTTACATAGCATAATAATTAACACTAAACTGCAAAAGTATTTGGTGACAAATAATAAAGTGTATCAACTTGTTACCCAAAATGGCGTGAATGATACAAAAGTTTTTCGATTATCACACATTTCGTTATTGATAGCTGGTAGTTATAATAATTCATTCCTGTCTGTCAAACTTGTGAAAGAAGTTTCAAAGACGATGGAGGTATAAAAGGTTCCCAACGTGAGTGGCATGCTATTCATGAGGGAATCAAATTGGAAAAAATCCGTTCCTTTTGGCAGCAACTTGTGTGGGTTAACACACGCATGCGATTATAACTCACTCGCGTTTCGCTAGCGATTTTGTTTTGTCTGTAATCGTATTTATGTCCATATCGGTGGTTTGAACATCTATGCTGGGCGTGTTGAAGTTATCGTATGAAATATATTGAGGTGCTTGTTGCACTTCGGCTTTTCCAACCACAGGACGTTTCTTTGTTTTGATGTATCCTAATGCTGAAACTAAAACCACAAACACTATGAAGCCGATACAGCAACCCACAACCAAACTGAGTCTTCTGGTCAGAATATCAGCGATACCCATGTACGTATTCGAGAAAGGACTATCCATTGGTGCACCAAATATTTCGATTGTGCTTACACTGGTACATTTACTTGTTAAGGAATCATTCATGTAAGATCGTAAATGGTTAAACGTTTGTTCGTCGCTGTATAAATTATTGGTGGCAATTTCTGGGAAAGGAGCTATTCTGGCGTCGGGCACAGAGGAGCCTGTAGACGTAGACATGCCGAAGTTTCCGATCGCTAGCACGCAGATTGTGTATCGGGAGCCGGGCGTCAAATGGTTAAGTCTTGTATACCTTGCTGTAGCGTTGAGAATTTTGCCTCGTATCTGAAACAAAAATGTATTAGAAATGGGTGTATGAAAGAGATTTTCAATTCATGATCAGTTTTATTAAAATCTTATAATCGTATATTTAATTATGTTATGTTATTATATCAAAAATTTTACTATAACATTCGTCACCGAAACTTTTGGGAGCATGAGCCATTGTTAAAAAGAAAGATTTAAACGGATTCACACTACAGCCGAATTCCACGGGAGAGAAACATAAATATTTTTTATGGTCCATTGAAGTGATGCACAGCCTTTGTATTCAAATGTTTTTGTTGTAATGGTGGCCGTGCGAGTTTTGTATTACAAGTTTACCCAAATATTATAAGAGTAATTTACGAGCAGGTGCAAAATTATTCTTTGGTTTCAGGGGACGAAATTAGGGGTACAACACACGACCGAAAAGAAATGAAGAATAATGGACTCGGTAATGTGATACTTACGATGCTCGGGTTTTGTTCACTGAAGTAAGCCACTTGATACCCGCTTAAGCCACTTTGGTTGCGACCCTGCCAAGATACGACGACGGAATATGTTTGAATATCTTGTATGGCGATCCGGTTTACAAGGGGTATGTCGCATAGTTTCTGCGGAGGTAAATGGATGAAACTGTATCCGTGAAGTTCCTCTGGATGCTCACAACGTAAATTGCTGCTACGTTTTAATACAATCTTGTAATGGTCCTGCATCCACTTCCAAACATTCTGCGACTCGCAGTTGCAAGTAAGGGGGTTGTCTGCAAACAAAACTATCATTAACTTCATTCCAAAAATTAAGGTTAACATGATCAAGTATTTGAACCGTACCTACCATCAAACGAAATCGTTTTTATTTGCGTCTCCAGAACCGCCAGCATTTTTATCTGAATTATTTCGAAGTAATTGTGACTCAGATCAATAAATGTAATCTTGTTCAAACTCTGAAAAGCATCCGAGGATATGGCCGACAGCCAGTTGCCTTTCAAATTCAACTCAGTGAGACTTAGTAGGCCTTTGAATATATCTTTGTTTATTCTTGTTATGTGATTGAAAGAGACATCTAACTTTTGCAAACTTTGCAAATCCGATGTAAATTCTTCGAGTTCTCTGATGATATTCTGTGATATATTCAGCAAACGTGTGGAATATAATCCTTGGAGTCGTTCTCTGGGAATGTTTTCCATTTGGTTTTGGCTTAAATCCAGTACATGTAAATTGTGTAGTTTCGAAAATGCTCCAGGCGACAGTCGGACTATAGAATTTCTTTGTAGAATGAGTCGTTTCAGTGATGGGAAATGTTCGAAGTCCTTACTTGTTATTATCGTTAAATTCGTACCAGTTACAACTAATTCCTCTAGTTGCGGAAATTGCTTTGAAGGATATGTTTGCAATAACTGTGTTAAAGTATTATGAGACATGTTCAGCATTGTAAGTGTAGGTAGTACAGCTTCTGATAAACCGTTGCTAGGTATATTTTTGAAGAGATTGTGTGACAAGTCAATTTCCTTCATGCCTATAGAATGTTGGAAGAAATTCGGTGGAAGAACTGTTAACATGTTTCTGCTTAAATTCAAGCTCACCAAGTTTTTTAAGGCCGGCGAATTGAAACCATTTAGCACTGAGATATGGTTATCACATAAATTCAATGTTCTTAAATTCTGTAAACCTATGAATTTAAAGAAATCAATACTCTGCAACTGATTGTGACATAAATCAAGTATTTCTAATGAGGTGATGTTGAACAGGGCCACATGAGGAAATTCTGTAAAATTATTTCCTTTTAGATTGAGCTCCTGTAATATTGTTGTGTATGCAAAAACGTCTTTATGCAAGTCCCTCAAACTATTAAACGCTAAGTTAATGCGTAATAAGTTTTGATTTTTTATGAAAGTTGCTGGAGGCAAGTGGGATATGTTGGATACTTCTAACGAAAGGGCCTGTAACGAAGGCAGATGAGAAAACGTTCTATTTTCCAGCACTGTAAAGTTATTTCTGGACAATGTTAATGATTTTAAACCCGATATCTGTACCTGAATAACGTCTTCCCAAGTTAGAAAGTTATTGTTCATTTCTAAGTCACTCAGATTGGGCAAACTTTTGAGAGAGTCGGCTTCGATGATTGATACAGAATTTTTATTGAGTCGAAGTTGCCTAATTGGAAGTGATGAAATATCAAAATCAAGTACTATGATTTCATTTTGTGATAGGTCTAAAACTTTTAGCTTGATTAAAAATGTGAAAGTATCTTTTGCAATGTGGTTTATATTGTTGCATTGTAAATACAGTTCTTCCAACGTTACAAGCTTGTAAAATGTCTCATTACTTAGTTTTGTAAGCTTATTATTACTTACATCTAAGTATTTTATTCTTTTTAAGTGCATAAATGTCCTATTTTCTATATGTACAATACTATTATTTTTTAAATACAGCCTTTGAATATTTAACAAATCATTGAATAAGTTAAAAGTTAACACTTTAATATTATTTTGGCTGAGCCACATTATTTGCACGTTCATTTGCCCTCTTAGAGAGCTATTTTTGAGTAAAGACAAGTAATTTGAACTCAACTGTATGGAAACTAACGAGGAGTTTCTGTTTGGGAAAACATCTCCAATTGTGGATAAGCGGTTACCCTGCAAATTAATGTGCTGAAGACTCTTTAGAGTAATAAATGCATGAGAGTCTATGTTTTGAATAACATTATTCTGTAAATGTAATTCTAAAAGCCCTGGCAGCGGGCTAAACACATTTCGCTTTATATGACTCAACTTGTTGTTTTGCAAACGTAGTTCTCTCAACTCACTTAGTTTATCAAATATTAATTCATCTAATTCGTTAATTTCATTATTATCTAAACTTAAAGTAACTAGTTTATAATTGGAGTGAAAAATATTACGAGGAAGTTTTCTCAAAAAATTTGTTCCCATGTGCAGTTGAGTCAAATTTTGTAAAGAAGAAAAGCAATTGGGATGCAACCTTTGGATTGCATTATGTTCTAAATTTAGAACCGTTAATCCGACAGCATTTTTAAAAGCATCATCCGGGATTTCAAGGATGTTGTTTTCAGACAAAAATATCTCGGAAAGATGCAATAAGTTTGAAAATACACCTTTTATATTGTGTAAATGGTTATGACTTAAGTCTATTGTGCGAATTTTATAATTTTTTTGAAATATATTTTTGTCGATGTTTGTAATTTTATTTCGACTCAAGTCTATAGTTTCTAAATCACCTAATGGGTGAAAAGCTTCCTCTTCTATTTTCTGTATGCGATTACTAAAAAAAGTTAAAACTTTAATTTTTGGTATGCATTTGAACCAGTTGTTTTTAATTTCTACAAAATAATTTGAACTTAAATCTAAAGAAACTAAATTAGATATTGTGATGTTGCCACTATCTGGTATTGAATTTATTTTATTCCACGCTAACCGTAGACTATTTAGCTTGTTAAGCTTTCCGAGAGCTTGTAAGGGAAAAATATTCAGAAAATTTTCAGTTACATCTAGCTCCGTCAAAGACTCTTCTAGACTGTGAAATGCATTTTCTGAAATATTAAAAACTTTATTCCCTTTTAAATTGAGTTTCTTGAGTTTCAGATTTCTGAATGTGTTTGCTTGAATGTCTTTGATGTCGTTGAGCTGTAAATCAAGTGCTTCAATGCTGTACAGTTCAAATAATGATTCATGAGGAATCTTGTTTAATTTACTAGAAATTATGCTCAAAGATCCCAAAGAGTCGCGAATCGATGTAAAGGCGTTTGAGTTGATTTTGTTTATGTTTGATTGCGAGATTTGTAGATTTATTATCCTTATGTTTGGTGGAAATAGGTCTGGTTTCAGTTCTGTAATTGAGCTCTCAAGGTCGTATATAGACAAAGATTGTATTGATCCTTTTATTTTGGATAGGACATTCTTGACGACTCCCGGAGTAGCGCTGGGACATTCCAGAAATAGGCCTGAAATAGATCGTAGGGTAACTAATGTGCCAAAGTTTCCTAATACACTGTAATGTAATTAAAGTTAGTACGTACCTTCCTTGATATTATAACAAGGACAGATTGGGTTCTCGGCTAATGTGGGGCACGAGGGCTGCCCTTCTCCTTGCAGTATCGGGATGTGGATGGCAATTATTAGCACGTATAGTCCGCATTTTCCTCCTTTGAATCGAGTTAAAATACCCATATTGCTTTGACATCATTTCAATGACATTTTGCATTCGCCTCCAAACCGCGGATGTCGGGCCTCTGTAACAAAGAGATTCCTCATTACCCATTCATTCAAACCCATTATTCGTCGCCCTATACAAAAATGTCTGTCGTTTTTTCGATTATTTACTTTTCCCCGCGATTTGAAAATAAGTTTCCTGGAAGAGATCGCTTCCTAGAGATATGACCGATATTGAGCCGTTTCGGTTTAGTTTCCATATGTATGCTATTCTGATAGAGTAAATTAATCGCGATCGATCCTCGCAAACTTTGACGTTTATAATAATAGCATAGAAACTATTAACTATAACAGTGTTATTTAATAGTTCAATGTACCTAATATTTGATATTGCTCCACCAATATTAGAGGGCTCTGTTACATAACCGTTGTTAACAAACTGGATGGTCCCATTGTTTAAGCTATAAGAGCTAAAGTCGTATTGTTCCCGGTTTTTCTAAACAAGAAATCAAAACCATTGTGAACCGCAACATCATAAGCGTTTAATCTTTGGCGCCTTTCCTGGCAATTAAACTCGATCCGTCGCTGCTGTAACAAACATCTATCTTTCTTTGAACATTTCTGCGTAACGTATAATAAAACGAGAAGCCGTCGTTAATATTTAATCTCGACAATTACACAAAGGAAATATGGCGTCGGTTCCCGATTCAACCAGAAGAGGATTAATTAATAGCCATTTATATCCTGGGACCAACTTTCACGAGCACCTACTTATTCTATTTAATTACGTGTTTAAATTACGATGTTTCAGTTTAATTACAGTGGAATAATTCTAGCTTTACGTAGGTACATAGTCTACATAGGTATAGTCCGCGCCAAATGCAATAGAAAGAGACGAGGTTCTAATAAATAAAGCTGACTAACATTGACACCGAGATGTATTTTATCTTAGATTGCCAAGAAAAGTATCTTAGTAGTAATATTTGTACACCTCTGATTATGACGTAAACGTTTTGATGGGTTATTTTGTAGTTGTATAAGCTAATTAAATTTTTCGGAATTAAATTGCCTGTTTATTAAGGAGTCCTTAATCATAAAACTGAAGTTAAACAGTTTTATGACACCGTTTTAACTAAAAATGACAGCGTTATAGATACAGCAAAAGGCAAAGCATTATTTAAATTGTGAAGAACTGTTTTAATAATTTTATGAATAAATACGAGTAAGGGGGGCTAGGTCTGAAAATCAGGGAAAAATATTATATTAGAATTTCAGGAACTGAATTACTTCAGTTGTATTGTAACATATTCTTACGAATAAACGCATTAAGCAAAAATGTACCTAACTACCTAAAAAATCGGGTTTTCCTAAAATATTTATTGAGGACAAAGAGCGAGTTTTAAAGTAATTGAAAATAATAAACTACAAAATTACCTCCGAAGAAGTTTCAAAGCCAGCGACCGACCGCAAGTTTCCGAAAGAAAATATCTCATGGTAACCACCAACATTTTTACTACACTCGTTTGTTGCGGTTCTTTGCAACTTAATAATCGATTTTTAACGATGTTATGTACACAACTCGGTAAAATGATGAGGCCTTTCGTCGACGAAATCTTTTTGAACACTAACCTTTTTCGTTTTATATTGCAAATTGCCTGTCGTATTTTTCCTTGGGTACTGTGTCTTGGGGCCATGGTAGTTACTTGGTTAGTAGCTACTTTTAGCATTAAGAATATTCAACTGCATCGATGCAGCATTAAGTTCCACCACTGCAAATGCTAAATCACACTTTGTTTTAGCAAATTCAATAGGTTTTTGCCTTTAAAAACTGTATGGAAATCAAGAGTTTTAAGAACGATTGATTTACAATAGGTATACGAATAAAACAAGAATGTTTGTAGCTTCAAAAATACTCTGCTAAAAGCAGTTGACCAATATTATAAACCGCTCGTCTCCACATCCCTTAAAAATGTCGTAGATCACTGCTACGACGTAACAAATCTGTTGTCGTGACTCTGAATTAATATAACAATAATTCAGCAAAAGTAGAAGTTGCTATAGCGCCATTCATCATGCGATTATTCCGAAATCACAATATAATTACGCTAATGTCCTGAGCAGCGGGCATTCATCATTGTTAATGCCTCTAATTAAATTTTATTGGCTCTGTATTTTCTGGTCTATGTTAGTATAATCAATTTTTAATAAGGCTTCAACAATGCTTTGCTATGACAACTTCAAAACGACCGAAGGCAAAAAGAAATAATTGTTCCTGGTATTCGCCGAACAATCAAAATAAAATTTGTTTGCGTTTTGTTCTCATAAATTTCCAGATTGAGAGGGCTTAAGGTGGCTGCTTACTGGGCCATTCTTAAATTTGTGCCAATTTTTTTTTTTAAATTAAAGATTTTTTTTTTAAACTTTTTGCGATGTGTATCGAAAGTATAAACCAAAAGCATACTTTTGATGTATATGGACAACCTTAAAGCCCTCGGAAAGGAAACAAAATAGCCTACGTAAACACGGCTGTGACACTGCATGACACGGATGTGACAGTTTTACATTTTTACTGAAAATAATAATATTTGTGTTGTTAAATTTATATCATAATAGTTTAAATTGATTAACAATAAAATACACTAAATTCGTTTCATCAACAAAGGTGTTATTTGGTAATAATATGTACTTTTTTCTGAACATCCAAAAATTTAATTAAAATTGAGATCAAAAATACCGTCAGGTAGTTAATAATCTACTAGATAATAAAAAAATAGTCTTTTTATTATTGGCACTATCTGATCATGCTTCCGATATGCTACCTACATGGTTTCGATATGATAATATGCTTAACAAATTAGTAAATCTTAAACACAGTAGGTACCTAATTGAGTATCAAATGAGATTTCTGTAGGATTCACATAACAGTTGGTTTTGACAACTTAAACATGTTTCATAGTCACCGTACCACTAAAAATATGGTTAATAGCAATTCCTTTTAAAACAACTCCGACCACCTCTGCAGGGCCTTTACCGGGAGCTGTCTCAGTAAAATTTGATATTACTGCAGAAATGAGAAAGTGCAATAATTTTTCCTTCGTGGCATCTAGAAAATCATACTAGCGAAAAATAAGTACACTTACTAAAAGGCTACTCCTAAAAATTGCACAATACACAAAATAATTTAGCAGAACAACAAAAACTATTAAAATAATAAAAATAGAATGTCACAACCACGCGTTGTAATGTCACGACAATGTACTTAAATAGTTTGCGGTAGTGACACATTTTTCATACCATGGCCGTGACAATTTGGAACGTGTCCGATATATCCAAAAAACTATCTGTGAATTAGCAGGTCTTGTGCAATTATCTGAAACTATACTGCATGAGGTACATAATTATGTTTTATACAATAGCGTGACATTGATACCTACCTTTAATAACCGTACACGGGATGGACGTGTTATGGTTGTCCCTTTTTTCAAATAAATAGGAAATAATTTTTTGCGGCTCACTCACTACGTTCAGCCATTTGCAAATCTAATAAGATGACAATGTTACTGTTCTAAAAAAACTTAGCAAGGGATGTCAATATCAAAGATAGTTTTTTACTGAGTTACGCATATTTAAAGTGGCGCACGTGGTTGTGACACAAAAACTGCTCACACAATGTTTGGTGGTCAAAATAAAAAATGGTAATTATTATTGATATAAATTTTTAACAGTCTTATATAACATGTATTAATCTTGCATAATTACTGTAATATTTATCAAAATAACATAACATCTCTTCAGAAAAAAAATATTGTATGTCCAAATCCGGGAATCTCACACTACACGGTCCGTGACATTTTGGACTTGTAACTTTTTTTAAATATTCTTCTAATATTTTTATGATAAAAATGATATTGGGCCTAGTTAATAGAGGTATTTTACTAAGTAAATTAATATACAGTGCACTGATTTTCTTTAAAAACATATGCTATTCTTACATCTCACACAAAAATGCGTAAGAATAAGAATGGCCCTACTAAACATTTTCTGTGAGGACAAAATATCGTTTACAGGAAACAATAAATTCAAATGAATTCGTGGAAATTAATTCAAATATTTTAATTGACGTTTTCATTGCGGAGCTTTTACAACTGCTGAATGAATTTAATGTTATTATGTTATATTTTCACTATTTATTTTTACTATTGGGGAGTTTTAGTGGGCTTTATACAATTAAGGGATCGCAAACGCCGCGGATTTCTAAATGCTCTTTGAGGAAAGTGAGATTAAGACAGCCGATTATAAAACAGTAGCTTTATACGAGCACATGAAGCACAATATCTTGTCATAGTAAATATAATAAAAGCGTCTATGCCAACCAAAATAAGATAAAACTATTCTAGACGAGGTAATAACACGGATTGAAAAATGGGAGGTATCACACTGAAAAGCAAGCGTGACTCAGAAAGGTTTGTGCTAAGCACCCAATATGTCTGTTTTAGGAGAATGGATAACTTACAGTTCATTGCACCTGGAGGCAATTTTTCAGGAGAACGAAACTCTCACATAAATAAAAAATAAACAAGTTGGTACGTAGTAAAAATATAAACAACTTATTTTTGGTTGAAATGGTTTTTATACATATTTAGTGCTTTAACAGCCCAAAATTGCCACTTTTTTTTCTTGTTTTAATGCAGTCTACACACTAAACCCCCCAACATGAGTCGAACTGTGACATGTTGTCAAAAGACATAGGCTGGGTTGCACCATCTTAGTTGGACTTTAACAAACGTCAAAAGTCTGTCTAACTCCATACAAAATACGCCGGTTATCGTTATAGTTACGGTCAAATTTAGGTGGTGCAACTCAACTTTAGTCGTCGACACGTTAAAATAAAGCCACCGACATCAAGCCCGCAGAACCAAGCCTCTGGGCTTTCAGCGGGTTTTGTGTGTAGAGTCCTTTACCTAATTTGCTAGCACATTGTGGATTTATTATTTCAGAAACAGTACCCATACAAGTATTTCACTGAGCATACAAACAAAAGAAAGTCTGCTCAGAAATGAAATAATATCGTAACAGCTAA